AATGCTTCCAGGGAGACAGCTTTTTGCTGAGGGAGCCAAATTGAACAAACGTGTTAGTCACTTCTCTGCATGCACAGATACACGCTAGCCTAACATGCTCCAAAAACTCAGCTTTCCCCTAAGTTTTGGAGTACTTGCTCTCAACAGAATCCTTGCCAGTTTCATCGGTTTAAACTGGTGTGTTTCCTCAGTAGAAGACCCTTTATTCCAAATACAGAATAATCATACTCTGAGTCAAGCACACACTCTTTTGCACAGTTGGAAAATACCCATTCCTAGAAAAATGCTTCTATTTTGTGTCCTATCAAAAAGTGCACAGAATTTGGCAATGTTTGAACCATGCTGATATTTCCATCATTTCCCAGAATTTACAACAACTGGGAATTCAGACCTGCTGAATAAGGAAGAATAAAAAAGTGCTGTAAATAAATACCGTCCCTCCCTAAGCCTTTGTAAGCTGTGTCCATTCCTGCAGGCTGACTCAGGCCAGCAGCTTTCTGTGTCTTGCAGGCTCACAACAAAGTCTACGATCTCTCTCTTGTGGATTCGCTAAGATTAAAAAAGTGTATCTTCCATTACATTGTGCTGCATGCTGAATTTTTCCACCATGTACTGGGGTCTGGCTGGGATAGAGTTAACTTTCTTCATAACAGGCATGGAGCTGTGTTTTAGATTTGTGACTAAAACAGTGTTGATAACACATGGATGTTTTCACTTGCTGAACAGCGCTTGCACAACATGAAGGTCTTCCCTGTTGCCCACGCTACCCCCTCAGCAGGTAGGCTAGGGGCGGGCAAGAAGTTGGGGACACAGGTGGGACATCTGACCCCAACTGACCAATATTCCATACCATATAACATCTTGCTCAGCAATAAAAGCTGGGAAGAGGAAGAAGGGGGTAGGGGTTCTATCTTCCAGGGTAGCCATTGCTCAGCAACTGGCTGGGCGTCAGTCTTGCTCAGGGGAGGTGGTGAGTGGCCTTTGCACCACTTGGGTTTTTTTTTCCTTCTTTCCTTCGCTTATTAAACTGCTCTTATCTCAGCCCTCAAGTTTGCTCACTTTTGCTCTTCCTATTTTCTTCCCTGTCCCACTGGGGTAGGGGGCAGTGAGCGGCTGTGAGGGTACTCAGCTGATGGCTGGGGTCAACCCACCACAAAGCAATAGCTCTGAGGGGACGGCACCTTCCTTCTTGCAGAGGGCTCCACCTGACTTGAAGTGCAGCAGCTGCAATGATGCAAAAGTACATGCAATAAGCTAGAAAGCAAGCAAGCAGGTGTGAGCCATCACAGGTTTGGGCAAAAGGAGGAAAACTATTTTAAAAAAACCCTTGTTTGTCAAATAATGCACAGAGTGCTTCAAACCTAACTACATTAACAAAGTTAATTTCCTTTGACTATTTCTGTCCCAAAACACAGGCAAAATTGTGCACCCCCTCCCAGCCTTTCCATTCTGCTGTGCAGACAGCACAGAACGCTTCACATCATCATCATCATCCCCAGCCATCCCGGCATCGACATCACGTCACCTCTCCACCAAGACAGAAGAGCAGCCATTATTCATTGTGGCTGCCTACAGAACAGGAACAGCTTGGCCACGGTCCAGCACTTTGTGTTTCAAGACCCGATGCTGCTGCATCCCCCTGTTTGCGGGTGTCAGCCAGGCAAGTCCGTCAGTCAGACTGACAGGGCAGTCCTGCCTCCTTTGCTGATAATACCTTTAAGGTAACCCTTCTGTCAAAGCACGGAAGTACTACTGCTCTGCCCCCACAGCCACTCTCATACGCTCCCGCCCAAATCTAGACGGAGATCTCTCTCTCCAAATCAAGTGTCTTCATCAGCAGTCTTAAATATATATTTATTTTTCAAGGGCCTTCATTCCCTTTAAGTTCCTGCTTATAACACCAACACGCTGGAATGGGGGATTGGGCACTTTTACCCCAGGGCTGTTTCCCAGACGGAAGATGCAGGTTTCCTTTCTCAGAACAGCTTTCTCTGCAGTGGGGTGGACAGAGCCCAGACTGTGGTACTTAAGGCCACCCCACAGTTCCCTGTAGCCTCATGTTTTGGACCTTCAAGATGCTTCAGCTGTGGCACGGACCAAGGCATTCAGAGGATCCCCTCCTTGCTGAAGAGCATGTCAGAAGCTAGGGAAGACATTGTGAGAAGGAACCAGCTGTTGCTTGTTCCAGGCTGTAAATGGCAACAAAACAAGGGGGATGAGAGTTGTTGCCACATTTGCTATTATGGAATAGGCAAGCAAGAGAAGGAAACAGACTAGGAAAATGAATAGAAAACCAGAGTCTGGTTTTTGCAAGAAATATGAATTGTTATTTCAGAAAAACCTCCCTTTTGATATGGAATCGCGTTGAGGAACATTCTGCCATACAAAAGGAGCCCTGCTTTTGTCCAGAGCTATTGCTGCTGTTCCTGGTAGCTCTAGGGAGTCAGAGCCGCAAATAAGGCATTCCCTTCTCCTGCCACTTGTGATCAAAGCACAGGGAAATGTTCACAACAACTATGGATTTGTGGTGGCCACATTCCCACCAATTTCAGGGAGGAGATGTATAGGTGTTAGGGCTAGCAACGTTGAGCGCACACTTCCCTTGCTATTAACAAAGCATCTTCTTCCTGTGGACAGGTCTTCTCTGATCAGCCTCTAACAATCTTCAAGGACTTCTTGGCCCGAAGTAGCATTAAACTCAGTATTAATAAAAGCCTGTGGACTAGCTCAATCCATCACACTAATCAAAGCCCTGTTTTCACCCTTTGTAGCCTGTTCTCTAAAGCTAACGAATTTATGCAATTGTGTTCCTCTCTTCCCCCCTCCCTTGCCTCTTCTCTCAACTTTGAAACTTAATTCCAATCCTATCTGACAGAAGTGAAAGTTTTTTCAAATATACTACATTTCTAAAAGTTTCTTGAAAAAACAGATGACCAAGAGACATTCATAAATGCCCAGAGGGTGGCGAGTTCAATGGCTACTAAACTTGCCAGTCTGTGTAGGTTAGAGAAACTGCAAACACCCCAGACACAGGAATACTGTCAGACCATGATTTCCCCACACCGCAAAAAACTTTAAGCTAAAGATAGACATGAGGCTTCTCCAGACTATATATTCATGGAACTATTTGAAATAAATTAGGTCTGCAACTGTAGCTTGTCTGTAGACCAGCAATATGGTTTACAAAGCTTCTGAGCAGCCTACATACAGAAATAAAGCAAAACTACATCATGTTTAAAAAAAAATAAAATCCAACTGTGGACCTCACATTGTGGACTTGCAGCAGCCAAGAGTGGTCCTCCTTGCGAGGTTCAAAGAATCCACAGCAGTAGATGCCTTGCACACCTCTCCTTCTAGAAGACTTATCTCACTTGCCAGCACCAAGCTGGCCAGTTCATCGCAGACCTCTGCTACATTGCATATTCCCTCCCAGGGGAGGAGGACTTGCATCTAACACCAGCTGAGCTGCCTGTTCACACAGATCACTGTGACTAAATAGGCACCTTAAGCCTGGTCATGTCAGTTTTACCTTGTCTGCCTGACCAGGTGACAGCAGAAAATCCCAATTATCAAATTTCCTGAGAAAAAACCCAAACCAATACATTGTGTTCAGGCATGGAAATGAGAATACGGCTTGGCTTCTTTTACTCCCGAGTCCTACGTTTACAAGCTTTCAGTACTGTATTCCACCACCCTCCATCAAAAGTCACTCTTCTGGAGAGGCAGCAGCTGTTTTTCACCTGTGGTTCCCTGCAAACTTGGTGCCTGCCTTCTCCTTCTGAGATGTATAACCCCAGATGGGAGCAGAGCGCACCAATATGCAAACCCTCACCTGCCTTCTTGAAGATTCAGTTCAGACCAGACTAAACTTGAAATTACCTGACTTTCATTTACTGGCAGTTCAATAACTGCTTAAAATAGAAACATTTCCTCTGTTAGGGAGGCTGAAGTCAGACTCTAGGGTTTAAAGAAAATCTTACACTCTTCCATCACTATCAACTACCTGAACTGGAAAAAATCATGGTGTTTTTGTCCAATCTATTTCAGCAGACATCCTGCAGCCCTTCCCATATATCTGTTAAGAGACAAGCAATGAAAGACCAATGTTATTAACTTTGAGCCAATTATTTACAGACTGTTACTTTCTAATTAATATACAATAGATGCACAGATGTGTAATGCCAGAGAAGTGCCCACAGCGAAACCCTGAAACTAGTAAATAGAAGTTTCAGTATTTTATTAAAATAGCATATTTAACCACTGTAACCAATAATACATTAACTTTATTCCCAGAGTATGCACAACACAGCAGTGATTCAAAATATCCTTATCCATGGTAATCAATGAAAATATCTCAAATTCAAGTGTACAACTAAAACTAAACCTTTGAAAAAATCTCTCCTTTAAAGGATACATAAAGCTCTCATACAGAATTCTTTTAAACTCCTCTATACTTAGATGTCAGTGTCTCTCACCTGACAATACCACTAGCTTTTTTCTTATGCATAGTAGAACATCTCATATTTTATAGTACCCATTTTATAAATAAATTGGCATTTTCCATCCCATTTGTGTTTATCTTCAGCTTCACAAAGAAACCAGTAAATAAAACTGTCAAGGACAGTCACAACAAAATGATCTCACAGCAAGATATAAAACTTGAAGATACTAAAAGATGCCTCTACTCTATTTTACATAAAAAGACAGATTTAAAAAGTGCAAGGCAAGATTTGCAGGGGAAGGGGAGTATTTGTTTGTTATTTTTAGGCACATCCACTTGTTTAAAGCAAGCTTCAGAATGAAATTCCAGTTTATTCTTCATGATACCTGTTTCAAAGTCTCTCTCACAAAGAACAAGACGAAAAAAAAATTACATCCGTCAAATGTCAAGCAGGGAATTTCCTGTCCAACTAATAGTCTTCAGTTATGTCTTGTTCTTCCTTTTTTCATCCTTGCGGGTTTTGGTTTGGGAATATACTGATTGTTCGCCTGATACTCAAGTTCTTTACGGAAGTAATGAATTGCTTTATTCAAACCTTCTTCCAATGGGACCTGTTCCCAAAAGTAAGGAGAGAATGATATCACTCTAAGTTCATATCAGCTCTTTTCACAATGGTATCTTTTTTAATACAGCTATCAAAAGACTGCTAGAAGTCTCATTCTTAGCCAATGTAAGTATTAACAGCACCACATACTGGTTATATCTCTGCACTGCTAATGCATGTTAGCTTTCAAACGTCAGATATATTTTCTGACGTATCAAGTCAAAAAAACCAGCAAATTTAAATCTCACCAGATGGTTATGATTGGTCTGTTTAGTGTCAAAACAGACTTACAAAATTCTGCCTTCAATTCATAATACATTGAAAGAGATAAGGACACAGAAATTTAGGCCCCTTCAGTTTTTAATGATCAAAGATGCTCTTTCAGAGAATCTTGCTGAACGGTATATAGCACAGAAAGGTATAAAGGTGGTGGAGGTTTTTTTTGTTTGTTTTTTATTTCTTCAGTGCTCCACTGGTATACAGAAAAAGGGATACAAATTATCATCCAGTATCTCATTTGGTATTCTTAAATCCTATACAAATAACTGTAATTGTTCATATTCTATGCCTGTATTTAAACACTATGATTTGTAGACAGGAACAGAAATCCTTCCCACTTTTCTCAGGAGCCGTATGCTCTGATGTGCTTGCTGATACCATCATCAATACAGGAGGATAAAATAGCAGCACAAAAACTACTTGCCTTGATGTACTGCTACTTTAGAGTAAGTTTTGGTACTGACTGCCAAACACAGAAGGTCAGAAGTATGAAGTTAACTGTCTTAAACCTTTTGTGATTGTAACACTTGCCGTTGCCCTTGTGCTTTCAGGCATAGCCTATTAATGTCCAGTGCCTCTGTGAATCCTTTCAGAAGGGTTTGGAGCTATTCTATTTGTAGGCTTACATTTACTAGATAGGTTCACATATTTCCTGGAAAGATTTTTGTCTGCAAATCTAAAAAAGCCTACAAACCACTGTGCTAGCTAGAATGGGGAACTGGCTAAGAAAGTCACACCCTTTCTGGGGATTAAGTAGACCTTACCTCCTCAAACCAACCAGCTCTTATCATCAGCTATGCCTGGTTATACACTTGCACAGTTAACTTCACCAAAAAGGTTGAGAAAGGAAAAAACAGCAACCACAGACATTTTGCATTTCTTGCATATTAGCTGTATAGAACAACCGCAATCTTGACATCACCTCAGACAGCTGGTAACTAAGCTTTAGAGGTGGACAGACATTATCATGGGTGGTGAGATGTTAGACTAACCCTGAGCACACTTTGAGCTTATCAACACACAGAACAAACTCTGAACATCTCTACATATGATACCCATAGTCCAAAACAAGGGCTTCTTATTCTGGTTTACTTCAGTCCACCAGAATAAAAAAAAAAAAAGTGTCATCTCTCTCTGGCTAGCTTCTGTTTTGCCCGAGTTTCACATATTTCCCTTTAAACAAACTCTAAAAACCAGAACACTTGTCTGGTGCTCATATTTCTCCCTATTAATTAAAAAAACCTTTTTGGTTACAATGATGGTACAGATCATCTTAAAAACAGTCTTACTCCAAAGATTTTCTAAAAATATTTTAATAAAATAAAATCAATTTTTTCCTTCCATAATGCATGTTACCACAGCAAAACAGGAATGAGGACTGCAGCAACAGCAAACTCATTAGCTCCCGTAACTATGTACCACTTATTTCAGAGGATTCATCGAGCTTAGAGAAAGGTAGATACTTTATAATATGCATGTGAAAAAGTTAAAATGCCTATCCTAAAAATGTTTTTTTTTTTCTACTTAAGTCTATTACAAATGCTAATGCTAATATGCTCTTCTGCATGGCACAGGCCATACAGTCTTACCCAGCAGTTCTTGAATCGTGAGCGAGGGCACAATACGAGAGACAGCCTTTTAAACAATGGTCCTGGAGATTGTGTTAAGCAGATATTCTGATAACTGAAATGCACCGTTATCATGTGGTCCTCCCCCATCCCCGTCTGCCTCCCTGTGTTTTTGCACAGAACAACAGTAATACAGCTGTACGTACCACAGGTTCCCAGCCAAGCAATAACTTGGCTTTTCTGATGTCAGGTTTTCGTTTCTGAGGGTCATCCTGTGCTTCTGAGAGAAACTGGATTTCACTCCCACTGCCTATTAAACAAGAGACCGTGCATTATCATCCACAATTCACTATGCTTTGCATTTACATCTTTCTTACCTATTGGAGCATCAAGTCTTTCTGCAGCTTTCTGCTTCATAATTCTACCACTGAAATACTTTCCACAGACACAGCTACACTGCATCCAACAGCTGGGTGAATCAGCTGTCCCACAGCAACATGGATTCACCAAGCATTTCACAAAGCTTTCAGCATGGATTCACAAAAAGGAAGTTATGCTTGACCAGTCTAATAACCTTCTACGATGAAATGACCTCCTCAGTAGCCAAGGGTAGAGCAGTGGATATCATCTACCTTGACTTCAGTGAGGCTCTTGACACTGTCTCCTATAACAACCTTATTGAGTGAGGGCTGGCTGAGCAGACAGTGAGGTGGATTGAAAACTGGCTGCATGGCTGGGCCTAGAGGGTGGTGATCTAGCCTAGTCGGAGCTGGTAACGAGTGGTGTATCTACCCCAGAGGTCAATACTGAGTTGCTGATACACCAGAGGGCTGTGCTGCCATCCAGAGGGACCTCGAGAAAGGAGTCTGGAGAAAAGGGCTGGCAGGAACCTCATGAAGTTCAACAAGGAGAAGTGTGAAGTCCTGCATATGGGGAGGAACAACCCCAACGCATCAATACAGGCTGGGGGCCACCCAGCTGGAAAGCAGCTTGGCAGAAAAGGGCTTGGGGGTTCCAGTGGACACCAAGTTGAATATGAGCCAGCCATGTGCCCTTGTCACAAAGGAGGTGAATGGTATCCTGGGCTGCAGTAAGAGGAGTGCTGCCAGCAGGTCGAGGGAGATAATCTGCCCCCTCTACTCAGCACTGGTGAGGCCACACCTGGAGTGCTGCATCCAGCTCTCAGCTCCCCAGTAGAAGAGAGACATGGACATACTGGAGAGAGTACAGTGAACGGCTACTAAGATGATGAAGGGACTGGAGCATCTCTCCTATGAGGACAGGCCGAGAGAGCTGGGACTGCTCAGCCTGGAGAAGAGAAGGCTCAGGGGGATTTTACCCGTGTGTATAAATACTTGATGGGGGCAGTAAAGAAGAGGGAGCCAGGCTCTTTTCAGTGGTGCCCACTGACAGGACCAGAGGCAATGGGCACAAACTGAAACACAGGAAGTTCCCTCTGAACATGAAGAAACGCTGTTTGAATGTGAGGGTGACCCCGCACTGGCCCAGGTTGCCCAGTGAGGCTGTGGAGTCTCCATCCTTGGAGATACTCAAAAGCTGTCTGGACATGGGTCCTGGGCCACTGCCGGCTGTAGGTGGCCCTGCCCGAGCAGAAGGGTTGGACCAAATGACCTCCAGAGGTGCCTGCCAACCTCAACCATTCTGTGACTTTTGCATTGCAAAAGGACTTCACTTCCTCTTTGCGCATACTCTCCAGTCTGATTTAAATAGCTAACATAGTACTTAACTTTCCTCATGACAACACCCAGAAACAGGACAATTTCTCTAACCAAATCTAGCAAATAGTTTACATGCCATGTCACTGTGGGATTTTATGGATGTAGAACTAAACTGCCCCTCTGGGTGGACTGAAACAGATCAAGTTGTTTGTGAACAAACAGACAAATGGAGGTACCAATTATTCTATGTGCTTGATGGGTTTGGTGCTGTGATTTTCAATTTCCTTCCCTGATCTGTGGATTCACAGATGTTTTCCAGAGGGAATAGTCCTCTGTTAGAAACATCACGTGTCAGCTTCTGTACTGTATGTTTGAACTTGTCTTTTTCAGATCCCTCAGATGCACTGCTGGAATCTACAGACTGAATACCGTTGGCTAATAGCATCGGTATGTCTCATCTCATTAGGAAGCCGTGCTAGAAGACTAAGCACAGCCCTTCACTTCCATTCTTGAGTGCTCCGATTTGCTACAGGTATGAGAGCAAGAATGAAGAGAAAGCCACAGTGTTTTCTTCCCAGCTACATACAAGGGAGGTGCTGACAGCCTTGCAAGAGTCACTGGTAGATCAGTGAAAAGTAGAGAAAGGCTGTCACCACAGCATGAGGTTTTTAATGGTAGTCGAAGGAGAACAGCCTGCATAATTGTGGAGAACCACCTTGTTGGAGTATCCATATCTCAGCTAAGATGTTATGCAAGACATTTTCATTCATGTGTTTTACATTTCATTTATGTATTGTCCTTGTGCCAAAACAAAGTTAAAAAAAAGCATAAACATTATACAAAATAATTGGTACAGATTGCACAGATACACAGAAAGAATGTATTCATTCTACTGTTCATGCAATATTTTACATACAATTGAGAGGATTTGGATCATCTTATTAATATTTAATTATATGATCAGGATACAATTAAATGTCTTTGATAAAGTTATTAAGAAATCCAAGGACCAATTAATTTATCCACATATTACACACACTAATCAAGTAATAATCATCTAACGACAGTAAGTACTTCATAAGCTTTACTAAGAATTACTTACGATACTCACCAACAAGTTTTTTAATTAACTGGGCAAATTCTAGGATAGTGTGCTCTTCCGGGTTTCCCTAGAAATAGAAGGGATATTTGTTACGGTAGCAATTAAACACCATAAGACATGTTAGCTTTCTGACATGAGACGATTCTAACAGGGTCATGTGAAAATCTGAAGAAGCTAAACATTATGCCTTATTCCTACTTTGATGAAAAAAAAATGTAACTTTGACAAGCTCCATACTTACTAGAAAAGTTGCCCTCCATTACATTTGCCTTGGTAATTCAGTGTATGTAGGGGGGTGCCCAAAAAAATCAGTCTGTAAAGAATGGGCAAATGCACCTCAGTCATGGTAAAGGCATAGACCACTCAGCAGCCCACACAAACACATCATCAGTTTGAAATCTGGATTCAAGGACTTTGCTGAGTTGAGGACAGACGATATAATGAAGTATACTAAATTCTTAGTTCATCCAGAATTACAAAAAAACAATATAGCTGCAAACAATTGCTTCTGCATTTACTACATCTTACATATCAATATGTATTTTTGCTTTCCTATATATTCCTTTTCTTAACTCTCATTTTTTTGACCAACATGCATGTGAAGTCCTGATCAACATTTCTGAACAAAATGCTGAAAGCTTCCTGTTAGCATTAGCTCACCTTCAACAAACTCAATTCCCTCCATCCCTAGCTTTCATTGTTGCAAAACTCTTCTTACTACATCATTTAACCTAAAGCTGAACATTTAAGTACATATAGATTTAAACATTAAGTCTTCTGGAAACAAAAGATGTGATGAGGTTTAAAAATACCAGCATTCGGATAGAAACATAGAACTGAATTTACAGCCACAGAAAAAAGGAAAATCTAGTGAAAAACTGCCCTGCAGAGTTGAATACCTGATCTGGCAAAAGTTGGCATACACAGAAATGACCTGGCATATGCCATCCTTTTTCTATTCTTGTATCTGCTGCTGAGAATAAGGTGACAACAAATGCGACAGAACAAAAATCCTATTAGAAAAGTTAATTTCTAATCAATATTAGAAAATTATACAATCGAATACTATCCCATTTGCCTCTAATCAAGGCTAGTATGAAGTGATTTCTAATTATTTAGACCTAAGTACTCCTTCAGTGCTTTTTATCATTAAAACCAGTCTTCAATCATTTCCCTGGTGTATTTTGCGTGTCGTCCCCCCCATATTTTGTTCGTTTGTTCCATATTCTAATTACATAAATCTTTTTGCTAAAACAAATGAAAAACTCTAGCAAATTTATCCTGTTCTTGGAACTGTAAGATCTCAACATCTAGGGGCTTAATCTTCTTATTTATAAAGAGAATACATGGAGGAATATACTATTCATAATGGAAAGAGCTTTTTTGCTCCATTTATTTCTTCTAGAAACCAGCATCAGTGACAAGGAGGAAAACAGAGGCGACGTTGCCACTGCACAGTAAACACAGTAGGGTGGAGCTCTCATACTCACCAAGTTGACAGGACTGCTGACATTGCTGTTCATCAACGCCACCAACCCATTCACAAGGTCACTATAAAAAGGGAAGAACAGATTCAGGCAATTTCCACTTCCCTATAAATAATATTCTTGTCTAAAAAGAGAGCTGCCTCCTCAGAGCTCCAGTAGAGCAGGATCAGGCAGCTGAATGAGGAATGCTAAAATCAGATTTACAGTGTATACTTCAATGGGTGCATGTTTTCTCAGCTGTTTGTTCCACAGTCCCTATTGTAAGATATACTGAACTGGAGGTTAGTTTGAAAGGGTGATTAGCTTTGGGATACACTGGCTATAGCTCATCTGAGCATATGAAAGAATATTAAAAAATACCAAGTTACTAAAAAACAATTAATACTTCCTCTTCCCTCCAGTACCCAAGCATATTTAGAGGCTCATTTCCAACCTATTTCAAACAGAACAGAGCAAGTTGTAAGACAGGGGCCCATGACACCACCACCTGCTTTGCAGTTTGTTATTTGAATTGTCTTCTTGCTTTCAGAAATTCTTAAGCAAAGTTCGTTAAAAAACAGTATTTGGCGTTACCTCCCCCCAGCAGTTATTTTGGGTTATCAGCAACAAACTTATCCGCTCATCCCTGGACATACAACTTCAGATCCCTTTCATTATGACTTATAATCAGGAAAGGAGTGGCTACTTTGAACTGATGGGGTTTCTGTAGCGTCTATCACCGCTGTTACTACTTTCAGCAGAGGGAAAGAACATTTCCAAGCGGAGAATGATTAAAACAACCCAGAAGCCTGGCACAGAAGTTCAGCTAGCATGACAGAAGAAAAGATTCTCCGGAACAGATTCACTTTTTCTTGGTGAAAGTACACTCTGGCCTTGTTTACACCGCAAATATTAGCTACAGCAATACTCCCTCAACCAGTTCCTTCCCCGAGACGGGGACACGTGCGTGTACAGCACAGCACCGACCACGGCACGCCTGCAGGCACAAGGTGGCAGCATTGCATTAAAATGCAAGGACTGACAAACTGCTCAGCATTAAAAACTTACCTACCCATTACTTGCTGTCCCTTGAAGGGAAGAACACATTAATATCTCAATTCAAAGTTCTAAGCCAACTAACATTTCATTTCTCGGTACTTCTAAAAACTTCAAGGTCTCCCTTCTGAAAGCAAAGCTGGCCTAAGAATGAATCTAATTTCTTTGACTAAAATGCACATGCACACAAAGTTGGCCAAGCTCAAAAAAACATCAAGTGAAGTAAATATCAGACAGTACAAACAAAGCTTACCTGACATACTGGAAAGCTCTCGTCTGAGTTCCAGGTCCATAGACCTAAAAACAGATGAAAATCAGAAAAGTTACATAAATGTAAAAGTCCTCTCTAGCCCAATTATCTTTTCCTCACCATTCTAGAAAAATGTCCTAAGGTGAAACACCTGAGACACAAGCTCACTGTTACCGGAATGGAAAAAGATGTGCTGGCAGAGCCTTTGGCAAAGCATCAGTTCTTTGAAGGTCGTCTTCCTCTTGGACGTGTGTCCAGTAAAGATAACCTTCGGCATTTTGTTAACCAGAACTCTGCATGTGGGAAACATTCTCAGGAATGTAGGACAGAGTGATGCTTTGTCCTCTCCTGGAACATTGAAAGAGGCTGCAGCATGCACTCAGCCAGAAGAGAGCACCAAATATTTAAAGCAAACCTCAGACTACTAAGATGTGGTTATGACAAACAATTTTTCTTTGCTCATTAACAACAGCCAACTTCAAAGATACCACCAAATGTTAGTGGTCTCTAAAAAATTGTCAAAAAAAATAGTACTGTAAGCATTTAAAGCAATCAGGACTGACAAAAAAAAAAGGTCATGTGGCTGTAAATATTACTATCTGGAGAAATGGGAAGTAGAATAATTTCTAGAGGATATGACTCCCAAAGTCACCTGTACAGATTTGTATCAAAATCTTAGAGGGGAAAAAATAAAAAGTTTTCTCAGGTTATGTGCTGGCACTTTGGACCAAGCAAGTTGTTTAAATTCCAACAGACGCTAAAGTGTACTTAAAGTGTACATAATGGTATCCGATCTAACACTAGTTTTTTTACAGTTTAATTGCATGCAGTACTAAAGTCCCCAGAACATGAATACTTAAATTCTGAAAGCTATCAGTAGGCATATTTAAGTGGTGAAAACACTTAAATTTAACTGGGGATGCACACTTCTTACCATCAACCTGCTACAACAAAAAAACTTTTTGGAAGGACAGAATAGAAAGCATGTTTGGTTTCCGAGGGGACAGAAAAGACAATACAATTGGTATATATGCCATTATCTCTCACTTGGTAAGCCTGCTACTCTCTGAGACCAGTTCAGAACCAAGAGAGTTCACATTTCTGTAGGCACTGGGTAAGATCAGGGGTTTACGAGTTTACCCAATAACTGATTGTGAGAAGGATGCACCAGGAGAGCACACTGACAGTCTGATGGACTCCCAAAACAAACAGGAAGCAGATTTTGTGTATGTATAAAGAGCTTCCTCCTTGTTTTCTTTTAGCTCGTTTTACAGAACTAAGTCATTTATGCATGGTTTCTGCAAAGTCATCAGTGTGGCCACCTTTCCGACATGCAGGTGGTGGCTGGCAAATACAACGCAGTTTCCTCCTCCCAATTCCTCTTAATAAATCCTTCCTTTACAATACTACAAAGCAACAATGGTCATGTTTGCACAGGCTATAATTTCTTCAAATTAAAGAGATTGTTTTCTCAAGAGACTATTTACTCCATTTGAACAAGTACTTTGAATCAAGAGAGTGAATATATTCAGTTTCTAAAAAGGTCAACATTTGGTATTCCTGCCAGCCAAATTCTGTGATGATACAAGGGTGACATTTTTTTTGGTCTCAACTACTGCTTATTGCTGATAATTAATTTTATTTGACCTGGTCAGCTAAACAACTCTTCCTTTAGTTCTTTTCTCATATTCAGTAATTCTCACTCAGTAGTTTTCAGTGTCAGACAGTTACTCTCTACAGAACAGTGATGCTGGGCAAAATGTTCTATTTTATCCTCTGTTACATTCTTGATAAAGTCTAGGTAGCATGTCAGTTACACAAAAAAACCCCAAACCAACCCAAAACCAAAACAGCCCCAAAGCTTTCAATATTTCCTCCCACAGAACAGCACTGATTCCAGACTTCTCTTACTCATGCTCTGAAATATCCCATGGATTGTATGCTTTAAAACAAGATAACTGCTTCATATTTAGTAAGGCTTCACAAAACTTCCACTTAGTGTTCTCACTTTGTTCTTTTTATAAAAGATTACAGTACTACTTCCAATAAAACTTCAGAAACTAAGAGTGAATGAAAAAAACGTTTGAGAGGCCAAATATGGCAATAGCGCACTATATGCACTGGGGAACAAACTTGAAAAACGGACATAGCTTCTGACCCTCTGTAGGCTAGATAAGCTTTCTAAACAGCATTTAGAGGCTCAGACTTTATGACCCAGGATGCCATCCTGGGAACATGCACTACTGACAAAGCAGTATATGGTTACACCCATATTTTGATACAAGCAAGTCCTACAAGGATCAAAAGTGTCAAAGCAAAAAGCTCCATCTTCTTGTCTGCTTCTACTTGCTTAGTGTCTTGCAACAAACAGAACCAGCCTCAGCCTGCAGCTCTGGGGGGACACCTAGATAAGAAAATGAAACTCTTTCTGCAGGAATTTGAGTGCTTTTTTTTTTTTCTATTTTTAAAGGAAAAAAAGCACTGAACCCACGTGGTTGTGCAATTAGCCTATTCAGTGTTGAGCAGATTCCTACAAGGAGAGACTAGGCAAGCTGGGCTCACTGTCTTTGTCAGCTACTCAAGACTAAGCCCTGAGATCAGGTCTTAATGATGACTTATATGACACATTAAATGTCATATGTCCTTGTAAACACTGGCCATTAAGTCACAGTCAGCATCACACAATTGCTACCATACTCTTGAGCACTGACAGTGCTTTGTAGAAAAAAAAGTAAATCTCTGGGGAACAAGAAAATCTTTAGAAGATGCAGTGAACACAGCATTCAAATTACTACAGGTTTGTTACTCTGAAATAACCACAAGCCTAAACCAGAAATTTAGCAATGCTTAGGAACAACAGAGTAGCCAAGATGCATCACTGATTACATTAAAACATAACAAATTGCCTAAGTTAGCAATCACTGATAAACAGCAAGAAAGTAAGCAAATGCTGACCTCCAGAGAAGACCAATCTTTCAAAAATTATCAGTGTACTTAAGTCAGGAGATGTGTACTGCTTTGCAGGATAAACACCATTTGAGCTTTTTTAATTTTGTTTTTTATAAAGCGTTCTAGATTTCACCCTATCAGTAGGGTAGTGTCTACTACCCAAGTTTTACAGGGGGTAACGATATTTTGGCATATTATTTGAAAAAGATTAAAGTTAGGGGTGATTTACCACAGGACACCAAGCTTCATCTTGCCTGGGCATGGCTATTCCCTGGTCTAGACTCTTCAGTGTTCTGTCCAGTTTCAGATTTTGCTTTACAAGAGTCACAGTAGTGGGAGTTGCCACAAAACTTTAATCCTTTTCTCCTTGGATTGTCTGCTCCTTCCTACAGGAATTCCTGGCTGAACTCTGGATTTTACAGTCTCCATTACAGGAATGCTACCTCAATCTCAAGATAGCTGCCCCATGGAGGTACTTAGCAACATTTTTAGCAGAACATTTAGCAGAAGCCATTGAGTGATTTCCTGGCACTTCACTCTTCTAACCTAGGCAATATTAACAGATGTTTATAAGAAATGTCTGTCGTATGTCAAAAACTGTAAATGTTTCCATGAGCTCACAAAGGATCTCAGATTCCAAACTACTTCTCCCTGTATCAGGGTGTCTCCTCATTTATTTTACATATCCTCAATATTTTATAACAGTAAATGAAACAGGATCAGGGCATTGTCTGTATCGCTACAGGCACGGTCTGTATTGCTACATTACCAGCAGCATCTTTGGCAGAGTACTGGCCTATGCCAGCTCTTGCTCTCCCAGACAATGTTGTGACATTGCTTAAGCACCATCAAGAGCCAAGGACCATTCACAGCAAACAGTCTGGATGTGACAACTTGCTTCAGCAGGCAAATTTAGCTGTATAGACGTGGGTCATGCCACACCAGTTTGTCAATGGTAACAAAATCCAGTCCTGGCTGGCTTTATTTACTAATATGTGAGGTAGCCTGAAGGCCTTTTATGTTATGTTATACATGGGAAACTTAGGCTGATCTCCAAGCTTGCAAAAAGACATTTAGATGCCTAACTTCCAAAAAGGGTTCAGAGAAAGTTCCTCAGCAGAAGGAAGTACCAAAACATGATTCTGTAAGCCTTGTCATGCTGTGCCCCCATAGAAGAGTTGTGACAGACAGAGACTGAAGTTCAGGAAGACTAAAACACTTTCTCAGATTGCAAATGGTAGCCTTATTTCTCTCTGGGAAAGGAACACCAATACTATCAAGAGCACATCTTCGGGTATATAATTCTATACACTTGAGTTTGATATACCGAAAGATTAGATTTTTAGAGGGGGGAAACCTCAGTGTTTTCTAAAAACAAGCCTCTTTCATAGCACATGAGGATAGGGTATAAAGATGAATAACTCTTCATGTCACTGAGAAGTCATTACTTACTGTTAGTGGTTCTCCCTGAAGGGCTTGTAGGATAAAATTACTGACAACTCTACCATCATTCATATGCATTCGAGGACCAAAGGTATTGAATATTCTGGCAACCCTCACTTCAACTCCTTCCTGTAGGAAAAGAAAAAAGAATTGTTACTGCCTTAATAAGAGTGTCCTTCTTCCTAAAAGTGCAAATTAACTCTCCCCTGTCCAAATGCTTTCTTAAGGATCCCTCTTACAGCTTTAACAAGCGTTGTTTTCTCACCATGAAACTTCTAACCTCTCATCAACCCTACTGGAAACTGTAGTGCATACAACAAAGTAATGTATACTACTTCTCAGTATTTACAATGTAAATTCTAAATCAGTGCTAGAATAGCTGATGATTTCAGCACACGCATTTTCTTCCAACAAGAACTTCAAGATTTTTCAATAGTACCCTTCCAACAACAACTTACTTCACCTGGGACTTACCTACATTTTTTGCACATAAGTGAAGTCTCATAATCACCAGATATAGCACTAAAGTTGAACACTTCAGTTAAGTACCTTTACCAATGCTATAAAGTAGGTCGCTTTGTAACCGCAGTCACAATGTTTCTTAGCTCCACACTACTTATTAGGCTGTGTAAATGCATGTATTACAATCCAGGTCTCTTCAACAGTTTAGTTTTTTTCCGAGAAATATTTCTATTATTCCCAGAAGTCCTTTCTGGAGGATATTTCGCAAATCTTCAAAGCAAAATGCAACAAATATGTGAAATTGGAAACTGCCTGGACAGAACATTTTAACATTGGGAGACTGCAGACTGAAGTAATCTCCCTAGGTATTTTCTGTTTACTGACACTCATTTGGACAAGCCACAGTTCATGATAAAGCCTACAAGAAGGATGTTTGGCCTTTGTGAGCTGAAGCATGCACTTGGCTCCTGATGAGTTCAGAGCAGTGTCTTAATGCTGTAAACAGATAGATGCTACCATGTGAGAGTGACAGCCACAAGGCACGGAGGAAGGTGTCAACTTTAGCCCAGGCCTATCCATCCTCCTCATACTCCCTGGTCCTCCCCGCTTCCAGAAAAAGCCATCCTTGTATCAGTCACAGGAAACACTTTACGTCTGAAGCAAACTTTGTGCTGCTGATTCAACTGAAGCAACTGAAGTCACATGCACAATGTTCTGGAGTTGCAAAAATTCAGTTATTCCTTCAGAGGATACACAGAACATCTTGTATTTTCAATGCCTTTTACTAAGGCATTGCCTTAGTAAGCAATTTACCAATGCTTGCCATTTTCTTGGAAGACAAGAGTGTGTGTGGAAGAAGCGTATTGTTCATACATCTGTGGCTGAAGCCTGCAGCTCACACACACTTCCCTCAGGAGAGACCTGGAAACACATTTTTCTTGGAAATAAATGTAGGTTCGCATACAAGAGAAACTTGCAAGAAAATCTGGTCTTCTCTCTTGGGTCTCCAAGAGATTCATAAACAAATGAATCCTCAAAGAATTTCCGTGAAAGCAATAGCATTACGTTTTTACAGATGAGAGAGTGAGCGAGGCAAAAGGCACATTTAACACTTTAGCTATTACTTGGTGTTGAGAAATGGGAAACACCAAGTAGTACAGGTAAAGCCCAACACTCCCTAGTATGGAGAAGGCCAAACAACATCCAGTTCTGTTTAACTGCAGGTAAGGTTTCAGTCGCCATGATGAAACGTTGTTTGTATTTGCAACTAAACTGTAAGCTAACAGTAACCAGGGAGTTAACTATTGTGTCATAGGAAAAGCCACAGTCTCGGGTCTTTGTCACACAACAAGCTTGCATCCACCACAGAGCCAAAAAAATAACCTCACAACATCCACTTGGCCCCACTGAGACACCCTGGAAAGAGCAGACATCCCTCCCCACGCAAAATGCATCAGTTGGGAATATGTTCTTTATTTCCTGTTAGCTAAAAAAGCACAGCAGTGTAACATGTCAAACATATACTTGCAGCAGCATGTTACAGAGCCATTCCCAACGCCTTCACTGTATCTGGAAGTACATGCTCTGATAGTTTCTCATTCTTTCGCTTTGCCCAGCATTCTATTTTAAAAAGGACACCAACTCCTTCAGGGAAGGATTGTATTTCATGTGGGCTTTCCAGATACTGCCATTAATAACAAGTACAGAAAATGAGGTGCTTGGAAGCTGGTACTCAAGGTAAAAATAACTCATTAAACAATGCTGACCAAAAAGCCTCTCTTGTACTGCACAAGCTACAGCAGCAGCCTTGTTTTCCAGTATTGGTTGGAAACTAGCAAGGGATCTAGAAAAGAAAACGAACACATTCTCTATAGGCACTTACTCACAGCCACAGTGAATCCAGTATTTCTTCTCCATTCTATTTATTCCCCTCCCCCCGCTGTAATGTTGTCTTTTAAAATGAGTAACTTTTTATTTATAGTGTCATCTAGCAAAGCTTTTCTCTGCAGTCTACTGCTTTGAAAAAACCTATTTTCTATGCAGCTGAATTTTCATTTGTGCCTGTAAAACTGTGATCTATCTTCTCAAAAGAAACTCTTCCACAGACAAAGGGATTTTGGAGCCAGTAACTTAAATTGTCCTAAGCTTCCTTTTGCCATTTCATGAACATTTCCTTTGAAGCAATCCTTTTTGCATGTTGAGTAACTCTACTCCTTTTTGTATTAACTGCCTACAAATACTTATGGTACACTCCTACCTATGTCCTGTTACTCTGAATATCAACAACAACATGTTAATTATGACTGACTACTTCCACCGTATTCCCACTAGCAAAGCCAATTACTTCCCCAGATTTGTGGCAGTAAGTCATGCACAATATTTTATTATATCCTAGAGGAAGGAGAAAAACTTCTTTGGCCCACATTTATACTGCTGAATAAAAGAGAGCTTGAGACTAATCCCTGACGCTGAGATCAAATGTGATCAACTTGCTTCTGTCCTCATGGTTGAAGACTGTGTCTTCCCATAGCAGATTAATCAGATAGAAAGTTCCTTGAGCAATCCAAAAAAAGAGCCCAGGAGTAAGCTAATAAAATGCAGCATTGTGGGCTATCAAAACACTTCAGCTCACTCTATTATTTACCAGTATGGACACGTTCACAGAGACTGTGCCTGTACTGATGGAGAGGGAAGACAGAAAAGATGCAAGAAAGATTGTTATCGCTTACAGAGGTACCTCCTCTGAATAAATACTTAGACTATTCTGTAGCTGTCAGTCAAAAAGTAGCATTAGTTATCCAGTCTCCCCTGCAAAACAAACTTGTCCATGGTCTTCAGCATGCATCTTTACCACTTAGTTCTAGAGATCCCTGCTCCAGGAAGTATCCAGGTATGAAGGATGCTATGGTAACATCTTAATTTAAAAAGACTTCTTTTAATTTTATAAGCCTTTTAAGAAAAGATATCTCCTTGTGTTGACTGTCTCAGAAAATAGATCAATACAGAATACAACTCAATTGTCAAGAGGTTTTTCTAACTGAAACAGCTTGAACATATGCTGTGGCTGTAATTCATATGGATATCAGGCAAGCTTCTCCTACTAATTAACAGTGCTTCCATCTTTGTAAAGTCTGTGGATCTACCTGAACAGCAAGCATGAATTAGACCGCCCTGCATACGAAATCAGGAAAGGGAAAGCTGCAATCCTCTGCTCTCCAGCAGACAACTGCGTTCAAAAAATCTGCCAGGGAAAGCCCAGACAGTTGCACGGATATCACTGCGACCTGATACAAGTCTTTATCAATATTTCAGTTAAAATTATTAAAATTGTTGCCTGCATCCTTTGCTTTATTAGTCACTTTCTTACTGATTCATATTCTTTCCCATCTGTTTCAGAGATCATTAACTAACTCTCAAAATTGTTCCCCAAACCCTGAATTGTAATCACAGCAGAATTACCAGCACAGTGTTCACCAGCATCCACTGGCGATGTGTTTAAGCTACCATACTCGACACTGAGGCTTGGTCCAAGGTATTTTATATATACGTACTGCCTATTATATAAGCAAAATGAAATTAATTCCTGGTTACTAACAGCTTTTTAAAACTGTTTTGCAAAAATAGTGATGCTGAGATCTGAATTTCATAAACAGTAAAGCTCCTAAACAAGCCAGGAAAGATGATCACAATCATCTGACTACTTTCAGCATAATGCAGATCCCTGAACACAACCAAGGCACACCTCCCATACTCTTATCTTATGGTTGAAATATTACTATGCTTCTAGTTCAACACTTCCCAGACTAGAGAAGCTACACTTCTCTTCGAGGTCTCTTCATACCATTATTTATACCTTCCTGCTAAAAGTACGTCCTATTTCTAGCACTTGCCTCAGCTTGCATACCTCTTGTATGTACTGTACATGGCCAATGCAAACAGCCACAGGCCTCCTCCATCAACACTTTGATGGGAGACATTGCCATTGGGAAGGGATATGTAACCACTTCAGTGCATCTATGCCCGAGTTAGTAGCTTATCCCCTTTAGACAGAGATTTTAACTTCAGTATTTTACTGCACAACATGGCTTCTGAACATGAGGTAGCAGATAACATAATCAGTGCAGTAATACCTAGTGAATGAGAACTGTATCACAGCTTCCAGTAAGGCTCAGGAATACATGCAAACAAACAACAATATATACACCAAACTATTTAATTTTGGTCATCTGCATAATGGAGAACTCTGCAGAGTTACACTCATGAATTAGCGTAACAATGACAGTTACAGGTGAAAGAAAATGCCTTACCACTGCTTTTAGAGCAACGGTGGCTGTATGAAGAGGAGGCGTCTGACATACAAAAATGAGAGGTGTGCCAAATTGAAAAGAACATGAGAAGCGACACACACTTTGCATCAAGAGATGAATGCTGCTGTGGATATGTTCTTATTCAGACACCAGACAAACCTAGTGAAGTGAGTCAATCTCCAAAAAAAGTTTAAAGTCTTCCTAACTTCAAAATTCAATTTGCAAAACTAACAATATCAAGAACAAAGAACTAAGTTCTCCAATTACCCGAGGGAAATCAGAAGATGGGATTTCTTACAGCACAGCAAGGAAAGGAAAAGAAAAAAAACAAACCTAAAGCAAAGAGAGTATGGAAAACATTCAGACTTTTCTTAGGAACTGCCTGTATTTATTTAGTCCATGGCTTTGATAATCATTGCAATCCAATCTTCTAACCTTGTCTACTGTATAAAGTTATTCTTCAATTGTTAACAGTTCAGAGCATACAGAAAGAGCAGAGATACTAGAGCATTAGCAAAACCATTGTGTCTGAATATGGGCCAGAAAACCTAACAGTTTTTTCCTGCTTTATTTTCACATAATTCAGAAAAATTGTTGCTCCACTGACAGAAAAAAGTCTCCTACTATATCCATGCTATGTTTGTATTAGGAAGTTCTGACAACTGAGATAAAACAACACAATTTATAAACAGATATTTAAATAATGAAACTCTCCATTTACTGAAGGGCTCCTATTACTAATGACCCAGTGAAACAACAGGTTGCATTTTTATAATATCACCTCAGACACTGCAGCACTCTCCTCCTCCCCTTTTCACCTCACTTCCTCCAACTGAATGTTAACAACAGATAGCTTTGTAAAACTATATTCCACTTCTACGTTTGCACAGGACCAAACACAATGTTTTGGTTCATGTGCAGAGCTCCTAACACAGCAAAAAAATTATTACAGATAGCTCTAACAACTGATTAGAAAATGTGCAGATCCATTAATCCAACAGTACAGAGAATACGTACCAGCAGGTTTTACAAAATGGCAGGACTATCAGAAGGGCTGTACGACAGTAACTGGAGCAAGCCAGTTTCAAAAGCTTAGCATTATTTAATTTCTGTATTATTACAGTTTGCAGGACTTAACTTTATTGAACTATGGGAAAGGAATTTTATCTGTGATTTCTCTTTTCCAAAGTATAAAAGCCTATTTGTGAACGAGTGGTTGAAAGCAGCACTGTTTCCTTTTTCAAAGTGGAGCCAATTAATCAAGAAGATAAAAGTGACTAACAACAAACAGTACTTGAAATTTTCAATGGAACTGCCACATTTATTGAGAATATTATTATAACTGTGAGTGTGTGACCTCTCAGACTTTGCGAAGGAAAGGAATTGTGGATGATTTTCTTCTTTCTGAATTTCACAGGCTTTGTATATAATAACTCAGATGGGACACTAGCTGCGGTGCTGACATCTACACTTGAACAGTGTCAATGCCCTCTCACGTCAGCAGTGAGAGGGGCTGTGGCGTCTCAACTCTTCTTACCTACATTAGAGGCACTGCCCAAGGCAGCTGACTGCCTGTAGCACCTTACAAACTCCCCTCTCCAACCCTGGCATCACCACTATTCCTGGATGTGAAACTCCTCTGCATGGCTTCTAAAAAGCTAAAGGAATCCATTTAATCCTTTTACCACTACAGTTTAGCTTTGGCCTGGTATACCTGCAACAGTAACCACCATCTGTGCCATTAGCCATTAGCCAATTCTCTGGGCTTTTGACTATTGCCCTGAGGAGATGCAATGCTTCCTCTTCTCCCCCTATGCCGTCACAACCACAAACAATTCAATTCTGTTCTTCCACAAAAAGCAACAATTCTGCATCTTTTCTTAAGCAAACTGCTAACAAACTTCAGGTGACAACACCAAAAAAGAATGCTGCATGCTTAAAAATAATCCATTTTGAATATCAAGGACAACGAGCGATAACTAGAGAATACAGGATAAATTCCCAAAAGACATTAAAGCAAATGGCTTTAATTCAGCATAGCTATTTGTTTTCTATCTATTTACTCACTAACTACTTGGTTATTCACTATTCAATGCCTTTTCAGTTGCAATGCAATCAACAGTTTTCATTACCCTGACATTTTACATCAAGGCTTTTTATGATTACTGAAACCAACTCAATTTGTAAATTAAAGATCAGGGGGAAAGTACAACTCAATAAAAAACAGAAAATCACCTTAGTGCTGCAATTGCAATGCACTTCTATGTTTAACAAAATTCAACATCAGTTTGCATGTGTTATTCTCTCACATTAATATAATAAACTTCACCTCTAGCATGTCTTCCCTTTCTTCTGTTACATATTAAGATTTTTTGGCACCTTGAGTCTTCACAGTCGTGGTTACAGGATATTCTATAAGGCAGAGCATAACATTTGTCCACTTAAAGAAGGTTATGCTTAATATTTAGTTATGATAACTCAAGTCACACACCTGTATATGAAGTTTATGCAAAAGCATGAAACACTGGAAGGACTAGGAAGAATAGGCAGAATAGTAACAAAAATAAGAGTACAGAATGGAGAAAGTAAACAGATTGACCAGCTGTTCTTATAAGAGAGTTTCAAAACTACGTCTTGCACCTTGTTAAGGCAAGTGAGTGAACTGAAAAAGGCTTTCCAGGAGGGAGTGCTAGCAGGCACTGAAAAAGAGATGAAGAGAAGGGAATTCTGAAGAAGTCTGAATCAGAGGATGTAACTTAGTTCCCAGATGAACAGGGCAAGAAACTAAAGCTTCCCGTGGCTTGAGAAAAGTTCCAGAAGCAGGTACTTCCTTCACACTAAGGAACATGGCTGACCTACGCTCCCATATGAATTGAAGAAGCGAGAGCTGCTCCTGGAAGCCTATAGCAAATATCTTCTCAAACCACACACTCAGGTGCCTCACACAGGATGAGATGAACTCGTGTACGTGCTTTGGATTTGAGAGCCCTCCATTCCTCCAGCAAATATTGAACTCCCCATCTCTCCTTTCAAGCAGATGTTTATATATTACTGAATGCTACTACTGCCCTTGGACTCTTTGATAAGGAAGTACTGCTGGGCTTACTTAAAGACAGAAGTTGTAAACAGGACATAAAGTCAAGAAATGCTTAATTCATAGGGTCAAAATAAGTGAACAAAACAATGCTGCCAGCAGAAAAGAGCGCACCAAAAAGGTCTTGGTCAGTCAGGACAGGCTAGTGAGGAACTCTGACAACTGTGAATAAAGAGTCATAATCTTTGATTAGATTCAAGAACTGTTCCGATTCGAACAGCCTGTCTGGAAGTATATGTAGAAGTTAATTTTTACATTTTTCGGAAACATGATTAGATATATAAGGTACCTAACTATGTGCATGATGATGGAAAACTCTGGACAAAATTACAAAAAAAACCACAGAAATAAGTTTGCTTGTTTCTTCTTTTTATTGAAGCTGAGAAGATTCTGGAAACATTTTAGCCTGAAATCCTGTAAATCCAATTGTTTTGGGCTAGGTCACTCCTGTCTGCAAAACCCCTTTAAAAGCACAATACTTACTTTCATAGCAGTAGTCAGATTTTTCCACTAGCAAAAGATAATGTTTCCTTGACTAATAACAGTGTACCATCTAAATTCTGGGGGGAAAAAAGGCTCAACAGTGTTTCAGAATATACCTGAATGTGGGACAAGCTAGGGCAGACTTCACTAACCCATAATAAAGTACAAGAAATATCTCACAGAGCTGCCCCTAGGACAGACAGCTCATTTGCATCATGAGTTTTCACTTAATGTATGTGTGCATCACAGTTCCGCCTTACAAACCTTTACTATCCTTTGTAAATCCCACACAAAATTTATGGGATAGTATCATGACTCATCCTGTGGCTTTAAGATACAGCCCATGGTTTTCAAAATGACCTACAGTATTGCCCTTCTAAAAGAATACTGCAGTGTGTATGACAAACTTGCAAAAAATTCAATACCCTACAGCACAAGAATGTCTCATAAAAACTACAATATTCAACTGCGAACGGATTTCCAGACCTGTGAGGAATATTGTTCTACAGTGAAGTATAGAAAACATCATCCTGAACAAGAGCAGTACCCCCATATTGTACCTTAAAAGATTTAAAAGAGAACAAAGGAGACGTGAACCTCTGCCTTCTCTTAGAAGCGGTAAGAGAAAATTACTACAACCTCTGTACTAAAATACCATCCCTGAAGTCTTACCACATAAGTTGAATTCTGTTTTCAAGGTTTTTAAAAGCCTTTAGTATTTTATCACTTAGGGGTTTAAAACTCTACAGAATATACTACATTTGATTGATTTATACCTTTGTATATTAAGGCTGCAAACACGAAGAAACAGTGACATGATTTTCTTTTGTGTGCCACATTTTCTAATTGCATAGTCTCCCAGAGACTAGCTGAACAGCAATTAAATAAGATTCACATACAGGTGAAGAGTTGATGTTGGGTTAGTTAATGATGAGTTTCTACATGTTGATTATAAACCCCACAGAAACTGGCACATATCAATTCACAAACATATTTTAAATTGCATTTTTATCCTCATGTTACTGTCTTTGGCTGAAAAACTGCATTACACAGCTGAGTAGTCGTATCTTTCGTTAAGGGCTGTATTTATACCTACATAATTTAAACACATTTCTAAACTGATTTAAAATACATTACTCCTATGTAGGTACTCATTAAAGAACTTCCTTGTTTTTACCTGTATATTCTGATTTCAATTATGCTTATTAAACTTTCCACATTTATCAGTAATAGCCCTATTCAGCAAAGTACTTCTCAGCACAGGACCAACTTAAAAAAACTCTGTTATCTGGCTCCCAAATTAGTCGGGTCACCCTAGTCTAATCTATCTAAAAACTGCTTACGATACTGAAAGACAAAGTATGTCTATCAAGAAGACTAAAGCACATATTCTTGAAGAACACTGCTCATCTGAAAAAACACAACAGATGGGAGCAATAAAACTTTTGCATTAAAGAAAACAGATTTTGCAGCTACAGTATGAACGCTCCTACTCAAGACATTCTCTTTTGCCCTCCTACCCCTAAATACACATATTCCAGTTTTGCCACACATTTGGCATTCACAATTACAGAAAATCCATTGAATCCGATACAAGTTTAATACCTGCTTCATGTATGCATAGCACATGGTCTCTGCAACCCGCTTTCCTTCATCATAGCAGGCTCTTGGACCTATTGGATTCACATGGCCCCAGTAATCCTCATTCTGAGGGTGAACTTCAGGATCTACGGGGGAAAAAAAAACACCTTAAATGATCTATCCAAAAAGTGACTATATGTAATGAATCTTTCAGTAGATCACTGGTGGTGTACAGTTTAACACCTCTCTGACCTATGGATTTAAAAGATACTAAGTTTCAACACCATTCCTTAAAAGTGTATTCACTAGAACCATGAAAATGACAGTTATGGAAGATGTGAGACTCTAGTAAGATAACTGAGTACAAGCAAACAGCAGCCATTATCTGCTTTCCCCTGAAAAAGTGTGCAAGCAGAGAGTTAAACTCAAGTCTTCTCTGCAAAGGTAGACTACCTTGAGGGAACAAATAAGACTCTTATCTAACATAATTCAGACAAAATACTATAGGTTATGTAGGCAGCACTTTCTACTGTATTTGGAAAAAAAGAAAGTAAAGCATCTTCAACTTCTATAAAATAAGAAACAAGGACAGAAAAATGGACAAAATGGAGAAGTACTGCATTTCTTAAAGAAGAAAGAGTAGAGCGATGTACCACAATGTACTTGCTATGTTTCTTCTGTTTTATCCTAAGCGTTTTTACTAGCTAGCACTGGGCACAATCAGGTTAGATAATCCTTTGGTTTGATCCAGTAGAGAAGCTCTTGATTACAAAATAAACGAACCAACCAAAAAGCTCCTAGGAAGCTCTGTGTGTGTGTGTTCACTCTATATGCTTGAAACAATACAATCACTTTTGTTACATTTCCCCACTTTGCTACCTGTGCTGCCTTATACTCCCTATTGGGTTTGAAGTTTGCATACATTAGTACTAAACTTCCAAGTGTTACAGTTTAATTTTTGAAACAACGTTTCTCCATTCTGATTAACCCTTCTAGTTTTTATGCTGCTCACAGACATGATTACAGATGAATTCCTGCCATATGAGAGCCACAGAGCAATGACAAATGCAGAGAGGTTTTACACGATTACAAAAGCCTATAGCACTCTTAAAAGGGCCCCAGAAGGTGCTGTGGTCTAGACGGCTGCTTCAGTTTCTGTTTCCTTTCTGCCAGAGGCAGCCTTACCAAAGTTCCTATACAACACTGCTTTGAGAACTCTTGTGGAAACAGCTAACAGATATTTTCTGACTTTATCTTCTGTCCTTCATTTTTCAGCAAAATTACTTTGTCTGTTTAGTCAGAGTATGATACGAGTAGACTCTCTCCACTGGCTTTACTGAAACAACAAAGCCTGGTAATGGGAGTTTCAATTTTCCACTTCAGCAGGCAGATTGCAGCAGAGCAATGACGCTCCAAAACTTGGGGTTTTTTTTTGCCTGTTGCTCCCCTGTTCCAGAAGGGAGTTTGTTCAATTACAGAAGAGTCCTTGGGGCTACTGTTTTTCTCTGTGGAACCTGACTGTGGATAATCAAAGGCAAGGGAGGCAGTAGGAACGCTGCACTTGCTCAAGCTGCTTACTTGGTAGCCTGGTCATCTTAGCGGATCTCTTGCTTGAGTATTTGCTTTGAATCTTCTTGACTGAAGTTAGTCCACCAAAAGTGTACTCTTTGAGGTATGTTTTTTGTCCTTCCTCACTTTTTCCTCACAAAGCTTTGCATTGTGTTAGAGACGAGTATTTTTTGTTTGCTTGTTTGTTTTTTAAAGCCTAGACTCTCACAACTACTAATGCTGAGCAGGTGACTGCCTGCATATCTCCATTAAGCTTGCAACACTGCTATTAGCCATTAGGCAAGAGCTCACAACTGCAGGAAGTTTCTCTAGTAGGCACACGGTCTGTCACACACCCCAGGGAAGTACTGAAGATTCTCATTGCATCCAGCTAGCAGTTCTATCAGTCATTGTCTCGCTACTTCACTTCTTAGTAACAGTAAAAGGAAGGAGGAGGGATATGGTAACATGGCTCAATATTACGTTTTAAGAGACACCGCAACGGCATGCATGCACAATCACTACTTTCTTAGCTTGGAGGTTATGTCCTTTTCTCTAGCACTGTGCTGCACACACTAGGGTGATTACTAAATTGTAACAGTACAATTGGGGAAGAGAGAAGTAGATTTGCTACCAAAATTAACTTTCTTCATAGATTTTCATTATGGCATCTGGATTTTAAGCAGAGCTCAACACTCAAAATTCCACCACAAGCTCTTTTGAAAAAGAGCCGTGAACTAAGACATAGGAAGGTTACAGACAAAGTCTGAGCCTCATTCCACCGCTCTGAGTAGAGATTTAAAGTGAGTACTAATGCCAGCATTTTAAGCTGTGAGAAGTACATCTGATAAAGAAATCAAGCTAAGACAGTGATGAAAATCTATCAACCATCCAACAAAAGGTTTTTAAATACCCTTTTACACAGTCACATCTCAAGAGTGCTAAACACTGCTTTATCCTTCTTACCTCCATATACCTCTGATGTAGAGGCCAGCAGCAGCCGTGCTCCAACACGTTTAGCTAACCCTAAATTTTAGGCAAGGAAAGAAGAACATAATTAGACCAAGTTCAAGAACCTTTCAGTCACATTAACTGCTTTAGAGTGATCCCATTTTACATGCTTTTAAAGAGAATTCAATTTCTCTTACTAGATAAATCTAGCTGCAAATCACATCCATAGCTCCCACTCCCAAGCTAGAAGACTTGAGAAATGGCAGAGCAGCACCCACATGTGTGAAGTGTTTGCTTCTGGGACTACAAGTTACACTGAACCAAGATCCAGGAACTTAACATAATATATCCCAAATAAAGGCCAAGTAAGCATAAACCATTCCAGTTAGGAAAACAGGATCTTGAAACAACACACCATATTATGATTATAAAACTTAAAGATAAGCTACATAAAGAAACTGATACAGAATAATGTGTCATAGAACAAAATCAATCGTTTTCCCTTTATTATGCCCCTTTAAACAGCCTGGATGATCCTACCCATCACTCAAGATTATTCTGCACTCCATTTCAATGACTTTCTGGCCTTCAAGTTGGCATGGCCAATCCAAGAAATCTCTCATCTATGCCATACAACTGTCTAGCACCTCAATAGCTTCTAAATCACTTAATTCTCTGAATTGTACTCACTAGAGTATTGTTCAAATGAGAAACTCAGCTGAGCTAAAGCCCAGCGGGTTTTTTGCCTCCTAATAAACTGACACCCAGTTCAAGCTGCAGTATATGCCAAATAGATCAAACATGGGAGGAAAAAGTAGTGAAGGCTTGAGGCCCTGTTTTCATAGGCCCATTCCCAGCATCAAAACCAATAGACAAAGCTGAAAATGTTGTCTTGTAATTACCTAACATGAAGCTAGACATTACATGTTCTTGCAGAATTTGCTAGCCAAGGCACACACGAGAGGTTGCAGTACCCCTCATGTCCAGGGTTTACAGAGCCAATGCAGTTCCACCTAGTTCAACATTTGCTGTGGTGGAAAGGAACAGTCACTCATGGCAAATGTGGGAATGTTCCACAGTCACCAAGGTGAGAAATGCAGTCATGGACACAACTTTGCTATAAAAATCCCATGCTCCTAATTGTTCCTATGACTTCTATAATTACTGCACTGTTATTACTCCATAGCCAAGTTACAGGCATGAAGTTCTTGTGCTTTGATAGCTGAGCTTGTGTGTTATCAGAGTTCATCTGCAGATAGATTTAAATGAAAAGCATTAAATTCTTCAGAAGGGAAAAAAAAACCCTTATTTTTCTTAAAGAATCAACTTTTAAAAATGTTCCGCTCATCTGCTCCACCCTTCTCTCCCTCCAGTAACTCTGACCAGGTTATATTATGTCTAACAAAATTAAGTAAGAAAAAAGATTTCCACTTACCCAGCATGTTTAATGTCCCAATAGTGTTGGTCTTTAATGTTTTTATAGGATTATACATGTAATTTGGAGGAGAAGCAGGAGATGCTAGATGGTAGATCTGATCCACTACAGAAAACCGG